CCTAAATGAACAAGCAGACTGGAGATGTCCAGCAGCCATTGGCAGGTCAGTCCTTCAAGCAAACTTGAAACAAAAAAAAAAAAAAAAAAAAAAGAACAAAAAACATACAAATACTAGTAGAAGCAAGGACCCCAATGAATGCAGGCGAAGACATGGAAATATATATAACCCCATTAAAAACCAAATACGATAAACATTTTTTTTTTACTTTGCTGGGAGCATTTAAAATGTCCACAATGCAACAGGGAAAGGGTTTAATACAGATTGTCAGTCCAGGGGGGGAACCACCTCCATAAAGGAGGTCCCTAGGCAGAGTGTGGATGGACATGCAGGCAAAATCTGGGCAGCAGATAATTCAAGTACTGCAAAGCTCCATGAACTTACAAGGCTGAAATTTATTATTTATTTTAATGTGGAAAGGAGAGGAATAAGTTACAAATAGCACAGTTAGGTACTGCTGACAACCCTTATGCTGGAGGACAGTAAAGATCAGAAAATGTTTTCCCAATTCCCAAGATTGAAGGAAAAAGATTTGTGGGATCCGTCACTATTGACATCAAGGTTTGTGGGCTTTGCTCAGCTCTCTCAATGGTCAGACTTCCTAATCTTGTGTCCAACACCACCTACGGATAACCATCTATTTAACAAAGGTCTGTCAAGATGTTAAAAAAAAAAAAAAAAAAAACTAGCAAGAAAATACACCTATCATTTCATAGTATATAGTGTGTGTATCTGTGGTGCCATGTCAACGCTGACAAGACGAACAGTTTGCAGAGCACTGATTGATATGGAGATATTTAGCTCAATAAACCGCTTCAGCACCCCACTTTGACACCCATGTGTATATTGTTGCCTCTTTCAGGTATGCATAACCACGTACCAAAACCCACAGTACTACTGCAACCTTCTTTACTTCTATTTTTCTTCTAAAGAAACTGTAAAAAATAAAGTTCACATTTCATGGCTTTTAATCTCATTTCAAGTGAATGATTTCAATTTTCTTTGAAATACACATTTACAAAAGTATGGGCCTCATGTGACGTTGTCTATTGTCTAAACATAAGAATCTGGTTGCTTGAGGCAACACGAGGCTCTGCTTTAATTTTTAAAGCTTGAGAAAGTTGAATTATAATAAATCTGGTTGTTGCAGACATTTCTTACCCGATGTGATTGTCTTTGTGTCGCAATTTCACACTACTGAAAAGGACCACAGGTCAGGATTTATTTACCATATTGATAAATATGTTTCACAGGTTAAAAGTAAGCTGTCGAATTCATGGGTTTTGCACCGTGTTCTGAAAATGTACTCAAAATCCTGACCCCAGGGAAGTACATATGGTTAAAAATAAGTCTGTAGAAATGTAAAGTTCATATTAAAATTCCTTAAAGCGGAGTTCCACCCAAAAGGGGAAGTTCCGCTTTAAAGATTGGTCCCCCGCTCCCCATTAAGGATTGGCACCTTTGGGGAGATGGGGGTGGGGGGGGAACAGGTACCCGAACTTGACAGGTACCCGCTCCCACTTCCGATGCGATCACCTAGGCAATGAGGGACGAAGTTGTCCTCCTACCCTTCCTCCCCGAAGTCTTGTGGGACATGTCACAGGTCCCAGAAGACGACGGGGCCATTCAGGGAGCCCAGCGCTACTCGCGCATGCGCAGTGTGGGCACCGGCTGTGAAGCCGCAAGGTGTCACAGCCGGGTACCCACACTGAAGAAGCTGATGCCTGGAACACAGGACGGGGGCATTGTGGTATCATGGGACAGGTAAGTGGCTGTTTTTTAAAAGTCAGCAGCTACAGTTTTTGTAGCTGCTGACTTTTATGATTTTACAGAGTGAGTGGAACTCCGCTTTAAGGAAATTTTCCAACCTAGGTTATGGTTTAAATTTTTTTGCCCAGGACAAACACTTGTTTGGGGATTTTGGCTGTCAATCCCAAGTCAGGCCACCTGATCTGTAAAAGAAATGATGCTCATCTACAGTAATGGTTGAATTGAGTTTAGCACTTGGGTCATGTGAAGGACAATTATCAGTGCCTGTACTACATCAATACAGGTCTTGTACATACAACCACATCTTCCATTGACTACTGATAAAAATTATCAATAGACAGGAAAAAAATTAAAAAGAAAGAAAAGGTTTCTAAAGTTGGCCATACACCAAAAAGTTCCTTTCCAGAACTTTCGTCAACTTTTCCAATAGTTGGTGAGCTCAAATCGAGGATTGATGATAACAATCGAAGGAGCAGGATGGAAATTTTTTCTTGAAGAATTTCTGTACAAATGAAAATTCTCTTTGTGTATGGATCGGCCAACTTAAAATTCCCATAAGGTTCACAAATTTCAGTACAAAGACTTATATGATAATGCAGTGCAGGAACCAACATGGATGTGCAAAGTGCAGTGCCAGCAACTCATAGCAACCAGTTAGAAATCCTAACTGATGTGCAGTAATCTGAGTGGTTGCTCCAGGTACTGTACCTAGCACATCATAACTGCTCTCTTCATTGACTTCCAAAATAGGTCTGATGTTTACTTTCAGCAATTATTTACATCTGTAAGATCATAGTCTGTTAAATTTGTAGTATCTCCACTGTCGCAAAACGCACAAAACTACTGTAGGACAGATGTGTCAGTTTGGCGATGGTGGTTCAAGTTGGGGTACCATAGTGTGTAATATTTTATGAGGCCAGTATGTTACTGACCCAAATGTCATTAAACAGAAGCCAAGACCACATTTATAGGACCCTTTCTGCATCCATCTGTACTTCAATATGTTGTAGCAAAGTCCTTTCAATTCACAATTCTTTGTATATATACAGTAACACTGATCCACTGCAAGATACTGCTACATGAAATCATCTAGAGAGTGCACATCTCACCTCTGTCATAAAATGGGATGAAAAGTCACCATAGACAATTTATGGTCATTGACAACAAAACTGAACCAGAAAAACCAAAAAAGACAGTCATTACCAACAAACAATAGTAAAAAATCCTCACAGCATTTCTGTGTTTTCAGGCTAGATGCACACACATAGGAGGGCTAGTACAACTCATCATTGTATCATGCTGCCCCAAGCACAGCTCAGTAGGATAAACAGGCAGTTAATAAATATTGTCATGTTAATTTGGCAACCCCCAAAGCTTCCATTTCAGAGGCCCAAACTGTATGCGGAAGTGGCAGCAAAATTAAATAACGTTGAAGTGGATGTTCAGCACCAGAAATCCATACAACTTACAAAAGAAATGTCTCTGTACCTGTACACACATGGTCGGTGGTAACTTATGGCAGCCAATCAAAATTCACCTGGCAGCCATGCTGGCTGTACACTGGTAAATGTTTACTTGCCCTATATTCGGGTCATCTGTCTTTCTAAGATCATCACAGGAGTCCACAGTACTAGAAAGAGGTGGAGGGTTGTTAGAATGACAGGTCAGGGGTGTAGCATAAAGCCGAATGCACTCATTTGTGTAAATGCAAAATTTGCGGCCACACTTCATTATGAAGCCTTTCCTCTGCGATTTCTCCTATATCTGCTTTACATACAATTCTGTGACTGCATGTTAATACATTTCCAGGTCTCTATATACATTTCTCACCCAACCATTAACCATTTTTTTTTTTTTTACAGTAAATAAAACAGATTAAAATTTTAGAAAAATATATCTCAAAAGCTGACCCCAGCAAGTTTCCATTGATTTGAAAAACATTTATATAAAATAAAGGGTAAAAGAAAAGAAATGTGCACATTAAAGGGTACCTGAGACAACCAAACCAGCACCAGAGGCTACTTTGTAAATTTGGTCTTATAATGGGATATATACGTAAATTAGAAACAAATCTCTATGCTACATCTTTCCTCATTAAGTGCCTTTCTGCACTGAAAGAATGCTGGGTCATCACTAGGACACATAGAAAACAATTGGTTTCTATGTGCCCTGTTCACACTGCAATTCTGCTAAGAGGTGCGGTGTAGTGAGCTGCATTTTATCACTGCACACAGGAAAGCACTGCATATCACTGTACAACAGTACAATGTACCATGCTGCTGTACAGTGACATGAATGAAGTGTTACTTCAAATAAATTTGACAAAAAACAAAAAGTGGATCACACCACCCCCTCACCGCAGCTGCTTGCACACTCTGGTTTAGTGTGTGGGCAGTGTGAACAGGTCTTTAACCCCTTGGCGCTGGCGCCTCCTGGCCCTTTAAGGGTTTCAGAAGCCAGGAGGCAGAGCGGGTTTTAGAGTCATGTGACCGCCGTGACATGACGGTCACATGATTGGGTCTTGATCGAAAGAGGAGATCGGGACCTTTCCGTGAGTATCGGACATGTGTGCTGGGAGTGTGCAGGGCATGTGCTCTCAGCACATATGTCGTTTTTTTAATAGAACACAAATGTGTGGCCGCTCGGCGTCTAGGCCCAGACACCGGGAGGCCGCACATTTGCGTTCGGCCGGCGCCAAGAGGTTAATAAGAAAAAGGTGACAAACGACAGAGTGAAAAAAACCTACTTGCTTAATATCCTCACTGTAAAAGGCGGATCAATTGGCTGCCATAGGTTGAAGCATATCGTTGTTCTCTGCACCCTTACTGGGTAAGCCCACTGCATAAACGTGACAAGCATTCAATCTGGAACCATTGCTCAGTCACTTACATATGGGGTGGACCAGGCAAAAGTCATGTTCATTTATACCATAAAAAATCCCAACGTACCCTGCCAGTAGACAGAAGGGTAATCTAGGACATGTGGACTAAGAGCAGGAATTTGTAAGTTGTCCAGTTCTGCTGCAAGTACAAAAAAAGGTGTTTTGGTGAAGTAGTTTAGTGCTTCAATATAAAGCCTGTGAACAGTGGTTGAAGTCTTTTGTTTCAAATAATTAACAATGTGACTAAAATCTACATTTATGGACACACAAAATGCAAATGTGCTTGTAGAAAATAAAGCCATTTTGTTCCAATGAATAAACCGTAAAGCCCGTGCTCCTCTGTGGACATTTAAGGAGGTACATCCTTATTTGCTGTTGGTTGTGGCACCTGATAGACCATCTCTTCCACTGGACACGCCCCTGGGGTCACTTTTGGGGTGTCATATAGTACCTGTGTGGACGAGGAACTGTCTGTCCTAGATAACAGTTTGTTGTAGGTACCTACTAGTGTAGGCCCTTGGCTCCCTGCAGCTTTAAAGGTGGATGTGGAAGGCAGGCACATGGTTCCGGCAGGATGCCCCGACATATCCATCACAATCGGTGTGGCATATTCTGGCCCACTGGTGGGCAGTGGCTCTGCATAGGCATGATAAATGTCCTGGTCTGGAGAGTTGTAGGAATCCAGATCAGCATACCCTGGTTCTTTACCTTCCTCTGGCTTGAAGGTTGATCTTTGATGCAATGTGCCCACTGCTCCCCCAACCAGTGGCTGTGCATATTCTGAAAAAAATGTAAAGGACACGATTAGTTTCCAGTTTTATACAGCGCTTTTACATATACAATTCTAAATTCCCTAATTTACATTCATACATATACATACTAGGGCCAATTTATACAGAATCCAATTTATCTACCAGCATGTCTTTGGGGTGTGGGAGGAAACCCACACAGGCTGAGGGAGAACATGCAAACTCCAGGCAGGTGGTACGTGGTTGGGATTCAAACCAACGACTTTAATACTGCCAGGCAGAAGTACTGACCACTTAGCCACTGTGCTGACCTAAACACTATTTAACTTGTTTGAAACTGAGCCCCCTCTGTATTCTTTCTGTATTGGCCGACTTGCCCAACTACCTCCTCTATTTGTACCTATATATAAACACATTTTTTGGGGATGGAATCTCTTTAAAAGCCTGAAATATTTCACAAAGCCTGCAGATGCAACCAAATTCTAAGTCTCTCACACTCCCATTGGCCCTTCACCAAGATGGGCTAGCTTGCTTGCTGGGCAACAGGGATGTGCAAGAGGGGACCAGCAAGATGTTTGGGGGGTTCTGAAGCTGTCACAGATATGTACAGATGTCTTCCATTTATACCTGCAGAACTTTCATTTTATACAAACTGACTCTCTGTAAGTCTAGGTACCTTGTGGTGCCTGAATGTATGTGTCAGTGCCACTTGAATCCTAGACACACAGTGTACACAGAGCCTCAGCATGGCTCCAAGCCCAGGTTCTTATCATTCAGCTGTCAAATGCCAGAACAATTACAGCCAACTGAGGTTCTAGCATTTGACAATCAAATGACATAGCATGGGACTTGCAGGCATGTTGTGTACAGCCCAATCTGAAAGACTAATATAGGTACTGATCACAGCTACTTACAGTCTTGTTTTTAGATCATTTACTTTTGTTGGCTGGAGAAAAACACTGATCCTGGTTTAACTTTGTTGCCAAGCACAGTTTTCTGACTTAGTAAGGATACTCCCACTGTATAGGAGATGGCACATGAGTGTGGTCAAGCCTAAAATTAGCGAATTCAAGCCCTCAGTAAAGTGAAACCAATATAGTCTTGTGTACACGGGCTCTTTTGCCCGCTGAAAATAAAAAACGTGTGTGTTTTTGCACCCAGGAGGCCAAGGTAATGCTTGCAGCAGCCTGTCAAGATCAAAATGTGACAGCTGCACATTGATTAAAGCGGCACTGGCACAGAGAGCCATATGCCCCAAAACACAGACAAGTTGGAAAGGAGGGACAGAGACATCAAAATATATTCATCCAATCATAGAACACCTCAAATTCACTGAAATAAACTAAAGGTGTTATGTGAATGGCAGAGGTCTGAGTGAGGGTCAGCAGCTCAGCATAGGGCCTTGAAGATTGAGACATTCACTATATTAGCGCCTACTACAGTTATTGTCAGCTTCCGCAGAGGTCCCTCAGATATGATAGATCACACGCACCTCAGCATGAATCAGTATACCCGTTATGAAAAGTAGATTTTAATCAATATCTCTTTGAACACAAGAACAATTACCAAACTTTTGAGAAAACTGAGTTTTATAGCAAATTTGTTCAGTTCATTACGTGAAAAAAAGGTTAATAATATAACTTAGATTACAAAGTCTTCCGTTTTACTCAAATTAGTTGATGCAAAAATGCACCCCACAACAAAAACTACTACAACTAATATTTTGTATGACCTCCATGATTTGTAAGGACAGCACCAAGTCTTCTAGGCATGGAATGAACAAGTTGGCGACACATATTGCAACATCGATCTTTTCCCATTTTTCAAGAACGACCTCCTTCAGAGTCTGCATGCTGGATGGAGAGTGATACTCAACTTGTCTCTTCAGAATTCCCCATAGGTGTTTGAATGTGTTCAGATCAGGAGACATACTTGGCCACTGAGTCACTTCCACCCTGTTCTTCAGAAATGCAACAGTGGCCTTAGATGTATGTTTTGGATCATTGTCATGTTGGAAAAGTGTGCGACGGCCAAGGGCACAGAGTGATGGTAGCATCTTCTCTTTCAACATAGAGCAGTACATCTGAGAATTCAAGATACCATCAAAGAAATACAGCTCCCCGACACCAGCAGCACTCATGCAACCCCACAGAAGGACACTGCAACCATGTTTCACTGTAGGCACCATGCATTTTTCTTTGTACTCACCTTTGTGATGCCATACAGTTTTGAAGCCATCAGTTCCAAAAATATTTATATTGGTCTCATCACTCCAGAGTACAGAGTCCCATTAGTCTTCTTTTCAGCATGGGCCCTTGCAAATTCTATGTGGGCTTTTTTGTGCATGGGTTTAGGAGAGGCTTGCTTCGTGGACGACACCCATGCATGCCATTCCTCTGCAGTGTACGTCGTATTGTGTCACGGGTAACAATCACCCCAGTTTGGCTTTCTACTTCTTTAGCTAACTATAGTGAACTTGCATGGCGATTTTCTTGAACCCTTCTCATCAGAAGATGCTCCTGTCGAGGTGTTAACTTCCATTTACAGCCTGGATGTTTCTGTGGGATGGTTGCAGTTCCATCTTTGTTCACTTTTGCTACAGTATTTTGACTGATAAAACAAGCTTTGCTGATTTTCTTGTAGCCTTCACCTTTCTTGTGTAAAGAAATCATTTTCTTTTTCAGGTTTTGTGACATTTCTTTTCTATATGGTACCATTGCTGACAGCATAAAATGGAAAGGAGTTTTCTTTGTTAACCCCCTTGGCGCCGGCACCTCCCGGCCCTTTAAGGGTTTCAGAAGGCGGGAGGCAGGGCGGGGTTTAGGGTCATGTGACCACCGTGACACGCCGTCACATGATCAGGAAAGGTCCCGATCGAAAGAGGAGATTAGAACCTTTCCATGAATACCGAACATATGTGCTGGGAGCGCACTCTTAGCACATGTTCTTTTTTAAGAGAACGCAAATGTGCGGCCGCTCAGCGTCTAGACCCAGAAGCCGGGAGGCTGCACATTTGTGGTCGGTCGGCGTGAAGAGGTTAAGTAACACCCTTTTTAATCAACTGTCTACTGGACACCTGTTTAATGAATAATTAGTCTCACCTGTAGTTGGATTCTTTTTAATTAGGATTTTGTTATCTAAAATTTAGCTTTGCTCTTAAGATTTTCATTGGGGTGTATTAATTTTTGCAACATGGTCTTGAATGAATTTGTTAGGAAAAATACTTTTTTGTGTGTGCAAATGAACAAATTTTGTTTTGCAATCAATGGCCCGCTTTTGTGGGAGTATTTTGTTATAGTGTCCCATACAAAATGTTGATACTGAAAGGAAAGGAAAGTTTTTTTTTTACAAATCTGTTGGGGTGTACTTATCTCTGCTGAGCACTGTGTGTGTGTGTATGTGCATATATATATATATATATATATATATATATATATACACACACACACACACACACACATACACACACATACAGGACATCAAACACCTAGGCATGCAAACTGCAGCAACAACTCAGCCATGAACTGGTAGGCCACGTAAAGTGACAGAACGGGGTCAGCACATGCTGAAGCGCGCAGAAGTCGCCAACTGCCTGTACAGTCAATAACTAAAGAAAACTAAAGAACTCCAAACTTCGTGTATACAGGTGAAACTCGAAAAATTAGAATATCGTGCAAAAGTTCATTTATTTCAGTAATGCAACTTAAAAGGTGAAACTAATATATGAGATAGACTCATTACATGCAAAGCAAGATAGTTCAAGCCGTGATTTGTCATAATTGTGATGATTATGGCTTACAGCTCATGAAAACCCCAAATCCACAATCTCAGAAAATTAGAATATTACATGCAATCAATAAAACAAGGATTGTACATAGAACAACATCGGACCTCTGAAAAGTATAAGCATGCATATGTACTCAGTACTTGGTTTGGGCCCCTTTTGCAGCAATTACTGCCTCAATGCAGCGTGGCATGGAAGTGTTTGCTGGCCAATCAAGCACAGTAATCCCATGGTCATTGAACCAGGTTTTGATGCTTTTGGCAGTGTGGGCAGGTGCCAAGTCCTGCTGGAAAATGAAGTAAGCATCCCAATAAAGTTAGTCTGCGGAAGGAAGCATGAAGTGCTCTAAAATCTCCTGGTAGACGGCTGCGTTGACCCTGGACTTAATGAAGAACAGTGGACCAACACCAGCAGATGACATGGCTCCCCAAATCAACACAGACTGTGGAAACTTCACACTGGACTTCAAGCATCTTGCAGTGTGTGCCTCTCCATTCCTCCTCCATACTCTGGGTCCTTGGTTTCCAAATGAGATGCAAAAGTTGCTCTCATCAGAAAAGAGGACTTTGGACCACTGAGCAACAGACCAGGTCTGTTTTTATTTAGCCCAGGTAAGACGCTTCTGAAGTTGTTTGTTGTTCAGGAGCGGCTTGTCAAGAGGAATACGACATTTGAAGCCCATGTCCAGGGTCCGTCTGTGTGTGGTGGCTCTTGATGCACTGACTCCAGCCTCAGTCCACTCCTTGTGAAAGTCCCACACAATCCTCTCCAGGCTGCGGTCATCCCTGCTGCTTGTGCACCTTTTTCTTCCACACTTTTCCCTTCCACATAACTTTCTATTAATGTGCTTTGATACAGCACTTTGGGAACATCCAACTTCTTTTGCAATTACCTTTTGAGGCTCTCTCTCCTTATGGAGGGTGTCAATGATGGTTTTCTGCACAACTGTCAGGTCAGCAGTCTTTCCCATGATTGTGATTCCTACTGAACCAGACTGAGAGACCATTTAAAGGCTCAGGAACCCTTTGCAGGTGTTGTGGCTTAATTAGCTGATTAGAGTGGGACACTTTGAGCGGAGAATATTGCACCTTTTCACAATATTCAAATTTTCTGAGATTGTGGATTTGGGGTTTTCATGAGCTGTAAGCCATAATCATCACAATTATGACAAATCATGGCTTGAACCATCTTGCTTTGCATGTAATGAGTCTATCTCATATATTAGTTTCACCTTTTAAGTTGCATTACTGAAATAAATGAACTTTTGCACGATATGCTAATTTTTTGAGCATATATATATATATATATATATATATATATATATATATATATATATATATATATACATACACACACACACACACACATATATATATATATATATATACACACATACATACAGTGGACATAAAAAGTCTATGCACCCCTCTTAAAATGTCAGGTGATGTAAAAGAAATTAGACAAAAGTATTAAATCATTTCAGAACTTTTATGTGACCTATAAACTGTACAACTCAATTGAAAAACAAACTGAAATCTTTTTTTTTGCGGGGGGGGGGGGGGGGGGGGGGGGGGGGGGGGGAGGGATGGGGGGGGGGGGGGGCTTTTGGGGAGGGGGGGGGGGGGGGGGGGGGGGGGGGGGGGGGGGGGGGGGGGGGGGGGGGGGGGGGGGGGGGGGGGGGGGGGGGGGGGGGGGGGGGCAAACCAACTAAAATAATTTTAGTTTGCATAAGTGTGCACACCCTCTTATAACTGGGATGTAGCTGTGTTCAGAATTAAGTAATCACATTCAAAATCATGTTAAATAGGTGTCAGTACACACCTGCCATCATTTAAAGTGCCTCTGATTAACCCCAAATAAAGTTCAGGTGCTCTAGTAGGTCTTTCCTGACATTTTGTTAGTCGCATCCTACAGCAAAAGCCATGGTCCGCAGAGAGCTTCCAAAGAATAAGAGGGAACTCGCTGCTAAAAGATATTAGTCAGGAGAAGAATTTCCAAGGCATTAGATATACATGGAACACAGTGAAGACAGTCATCATCAAGTGGAGAAAATATGGCACAACAGTGACATTACCAAGAACAGGACATCCCTCCAAAATTGATGAAAAAGATGAGAAGAAAACTGGTCTGGGAGGCTGCCAAGAGGCCTACAGCAACATTAAAGGAGCTGCAGGAACATCTGGCAAGTACTGGCTGTGTGGTACATGTGACAACAATCTCCCGTATTCCTCATATGTCTGGGCTATGGGGTAGAGTGGCAAGATGGAAATCTTTTCTTACGAAGAAAAACATCCAAGCCCGGCTAAATTTTGAAAAAACACATCTGAAGTCTCCCAAAACCATGTGGGAAAATGTGTTCTGGTCCGATGAAACCAAGGTTGAACTTTTTTGGCCATAATTCCAAAAGATAGGTTTGTGGCAAAAACAACATTGCACATCACCAAAAAAAAAACACCACACCCACAGTGAAGCATGGTGGTGGCAGCATCATGCTTTGGGGCTGTTTGTTTCAGCTGGAATTGGGACCTTAGTCAAGATAAAGGGAGTTATAAACAGTTCCAAATACCATTCAATATTGGCACAAAACCTTCAGGCTTCTGCTAGAAAGCTGAACATGATGAGGAACTTCATCTTTCAGCATGACAATGACCCAATAAATATGTGCCATTGCCAGAAGGTTTGCTGTGTCTCCCAGCACAGTCTCAAGAGCATGGAGGAGATTCCAGGAGACAGGCAGTTACTCTAGGAGAGCTGGTCAGGGACGTAGAAGGTCCTTAACCCAACAGCAGGACAGGTATCTGCTCCTTTGTGCAAGGAGGAACAGGATGAGCACTGCCAGAGCCCTAAAAAATTACCTCTAGCAGGCCACTGGTGTGAATGACCCTGACCAATCAGAAACAGACTTCATGAGGGTGGCCTGAGGGTCCGAAGTCCTCTAGTGGGACCTGTGCTCACTGCCCGGCACCACAGAGCTCAATTGGCATTTGCCATTGAACACCAGAATTGGCAGGTCCGCCACTAACACCCTGTGCTTTTCACAGATGAGAGCTGGTTCACCCTGAGAAACATGACAGACGTGAAAGGGTCTGGAGAAGCCGTGGAGAACATTATGCTGCCTGTAACATCGTTTAGCATGACCGCTTTGGTGGTGGGTCAGTAATGGTCTGGGGAGGCATATCCATGGAGGAACGCAAAGACCTCTACAGGCTAGACAATGGCATCCTGACTGCCATGAGGTATCGGGATGAAATCCTTGGACTCATTTTCAGACCCTACGCTTGTGCAGTGGATCCTGGGTTCCTCATGGTGCACATCAATGCTGGCCTCATGTGGTGAAAGTATGGAGGCAGTTCCTGGAGGATGAAGGAATTAATACCATTGAATGGCCCCCATGCTCGCCTGACCTAAATCCAATAGAACACCTCTGGGATATCATGTTTCGGACCATCTGATGCCACCAGGTTGCACCTCAGACTGTCCAGAAGCTCAGTGATGCCCTGGTTCAGATCTGGGAGGAAATACAAGACACCATCCGTCATCTCAATAGGAGCATGCCCCGACATTGTCAGGCAAGAATACAAGCACATGGGGGCCATACAAACTACTGAGTACCGTTTTGAGTTACTGCAATGAAATTTCAGCAAAGTGGACTAGCCTGCTGCATCATTTATTCACTCTGATTTATGGGGGGCCTTTGAATTCAGTCCTCTGTAGGGTGATAATTTTCATTTCCATGAAACGATGGGGCATATTTACGTTCCTAACACATTACTCGGTCCATATCAGTATAGATATCCAGCATGATATTTTTCCCCATTGAGATCTGATGAGTTTTCAAAGTGTTCCTTTAATTTTTTGGAGCAGTGTATATAGAATTACGATGTGCCAAGCTGGACCAGTGTAAATATGCCATTAGGATTATGCCTTGAGTACAGCTGTAAAGTAGAAATCACGCATAGAAGATTTACAGAAAGCTTCATCTTTTGTAACAAACTTTTGTTACTGCCAGGGTTCTCTTTAAAAATAAAAAATATAGAAGACAACAAGAGATTTGTGAATTTGTACAGTAAAATGGCCATGAAAATGGAATCAGAGCAACATGACAGGTTCTACTGAAATCTTACACCCCCCCAATCTCATGGATACTTACATTTGTTACACCGTCAGAACCATTGGGTCATGTGAGTGTTTGTGCCTGGAGATTGGCCACTCAGATCCAAACACCATATTCTGGTAGAAAGAAGAGGGGGTGCCATGCTCTACTATAGCTATACACACTGTGTATTTCCATCAGCAGAACAAAGCAACGAAGGCAAGTAGAGTGCATTTGTGACTTACAAAGAGAACCTGTCATTTAGTCCTAAATATTAAAAACAAGACAGATATTCTGTAAACACCAGTTGTTTACAGAGAAGAACAGTACCTGCTGACATGGCCACCTCTCTTGGTCGCAGACGGCTGACTTCACAGCTGCTGTACCTCACTGGGGTCTCTTCATGTTCCGCTGATTTAGCAGGAAGAAACTGCTTCATTCCTTTCCACCAGCCTGACAAATATGGAGGAAGAAGGAATTTACAATAAAAACTACCTGCTGTTCCTTCGATATCAAATTAGTAGAAATTATGGTTTAAATCTGCTCATTCAATAAATAATGCTCAAGCATTCTAAACTATACATATATCTGAAAACACTGAGATTTTGGGGTTCGAGGATCACAAAAGCTCTGAGACTGAATGGCTATAAGTGGAGTACTGATTCATGCATGCCACTCACCGAGCCCATTTTAGCCCAAGGGAGCCAGAATGGCCATCCCACCAGCTGCTCTCAAGGTTCATTGGGCTCTATAAGTAAGGTGCTCAAAGTGCACCAATGCGTTCTTTTATCTTTAGTATCTGCATAATTAATAGTATCATATCACCACCAGGTGGAGACATACTGCAACATTTCTAACATTCCTTGACACACATTGTGCTGCTTATTTACCTAATTAATGTTAAGAATCATTTTATTAAAACGCCTCTACCAAAATGTTCCCAAAAAATCCATCTGTGGTTCTAAATTCAGCAGTTAAAAGTGTTGCTAACAAATTTAGGCTTAAGAAAGACTATACTTTGGATCATTGTTTATTATGACCAACTAGCCCCAATACAGTACATGTCGCATGAACCACAGAGCTGGGTTTTAGGACGCACCTGCACGGTCCCAGTATGGCAAGTCATATGTGCCTTCAGATTTCTTCTTTCTGGTGCCAAAAAAAAAAAAAAAAAAATTGATGAGGAACAATCAGTCATTTAATGTTCAACTGTTCAGTTTGTTCAAGAAGGATATTAAATGATTTACTACAGACTAAAGAGAGAGAGGGAAAAGAGAGAGAGGGAATGAGGGGGAGAGAGGGGGGGGAAGGGGGAGGGAGGGGGAGGGAGGGGGGAGAGGGGGAGAGGGGGAGGGAGGGGGAGGGAGGGGGAGGGAGGGGGGAGGGAGAGGGAGGGGGGAGGGAGAGGGAGGGGGGGGAGGTAGAGGGAGGGGGGGGAGGGGGAGAGGGGGGGGAGGAGGGGGGAAGAGAGAGGGAGGGAGGGAGAGAGAAGGGGGGAGAGGAAGAGAGGGGGAGAGAGAGGGGGAAAGAGGGAGAGGGAGGGAGGGAGGGAGAGAGAGGGGGAAGAGGGAGGGGGAGGGAGGGAGAGGAGGAGAGAGAAGGGGGAGGGAGGGAGGGGGGAGAAGGGGGGAGAGGAGAGAGGGGGAGGGAGAGGGGGGAGAGGGAGAGGGGGGGGGGGGGAGAGGGGGGAGAGAGAGAGAGGGAGAGAGGGAGAGAGAGGGGGAGAGGAGGGAGAGGAGAGGGGGGAGGGGGGGGGAGAGGGAGGGGGGAGGGGGGGGGGGGGGGAGAGGAGAGGGGGGGGGAGAGGGGAGGAGGGGGAGAGAGAGGGGGGAGGGGGGGGAGAGGAGGGAGGGAGGAGGAGAGGGAGGGAGAGAGGGAGAGAGAGGGGGAGGAGAGAGGGGGGGAGAGAGAGGGGGAGGAGAGAGGGGGAGAGAGAGAGGGGGAGAGGGAGGGGGAGAGAGAGGGGGAGAGGGAGAGGGGGGGAGAGGGGGAGGGGAGAGAGGGAGGAGAGAGGGAGGGGGAGAGAGAGGAGGGGGAGAGAGGAGGAGGGAGGGGAGAGGCGAGGGGGAGAGGGAGGAGAGGGGAGGGAGAGGAGAGGGAGAGGGAGGGAGAGGGAGGGGGGGGAGGAGAGGGGGGGGGGAGGGGAGAGGCGAGAGGGGGGGGGAGAGGCGAGAGGGGGGGGAGAGGCGGAGAGAGGGGGGGGAGAGGCGAGAGGGGGGGGAGAGGCGGGAGAGGGGGGAGAGGGGGGAGGGGGAGGAGAGGGGGAGAGGGGGGAGAGGGGGGAGAGGGGAGAGAGGGGGGAGAGGGGGGGAGAGGGGAGAGAGGGGGGAGAGGGGAGAGAGGGGAGAGAGGCGAGAGGGAGAGGGGGAGAGAGAGGGAGAGAGGGGAGAGAGGGGAGAGAGGGAGAGAGGGGAGAGAGGGAGAGAGAGGGAGAGAGGGAGAGAGTGAGGGGAGAGAGAGAGGGAGAGAGGCGAGAGAGAGGCGAGGAGAGGCGGGGGTACTTATTTTAGACAGGCTTATTGCATGATGCCTGCGGGCAACACAACCAATTTCAGTATTTTAGTGATGATCAGATGACCATTTGCAAGCTCACTGTCAAGCGCTACTGAGCAGAGGTAGCAACGGGAATGACTTCAAAGACCTCAAAGTAACATAAGGAAGGATAAGAACCTGTGTTTTGTCTTCATTACGTCTGTCTCTCTGTCCCAGTGACCATCCCCCCTCATTTCTTGTCCTGCTTTCACAGGAGGTCAATTTCCCCATTAAGGGTAAAGATAGCAACAAACTTGACAAAAGTATTCACACTTCCCAAATCTTTCCAAGAAACGCTTTTGCTGCAGTTGGGCTGCAAAGTAGTAGTAAACTGCTGCTTTTCATTAAAAAAAAATCTCCTGCAAGGCAATGGCATAATGTGCTAGAATGCAATGCATGTGCCATTTTTATTTAGGACGTGTTAGTCCTATAATGTTGAATACATCATTTATGTTCACTTGATTATAGTGCACGTTGTTTTCATCACAATCCATATTGCATTTAGTTTGGTCTGTTTTCAAGCCTTTACATTTTTATGTATTATTTATGATGCATTTATAGTTTCATGCACCTTGTATGATTAGTTTTGCACATATTTTTTGCCATTTGATTTTGGCACAGTTTTCTTTGCACTGTGTTTTTTGTGCATTTTTATTTAGGACGCGTTAGTCCTATTAAGTTGAATACATTATTTTTGTTCAGTTGTTGATTATTGTTCACGATGTATTTCATCACAATCTATATTGCACTTAGTCTGCTCTGGGTTCAGACCTTTACTTTTTTATGTATTATTTATGTTCACTTGCTGATTATTACTCACGTTGTCTTTGTCACAGTTCATACTGCACCTAATTAGGTCTGGATTCAGGCTTTTATACTTATCACCTCTGTTTTGGGGTTATTTTTTCTGTCTCCCCACTCTTCGAATTATTGTGTCCTTAGTACTATTGATATTAGCGCAACACCATTTTATTTGTTTTGTTAGCAGCGATGACATCTCTTCCGTGCATGCACACGGGAGTCTCTGTTTACGGCACACAGCTCTGGAGGGAAGCATGCGCCATGACATCAGCAGCTGCATCCAGCATGAATATCTCCTAAACAGTGCAAGTTTAGGAGATATTCACTGTGCCTACAGGTAAGTTTTATTTTAGGCTCAACTGCTGGTACAACTTCAAGAGCGGAGTTTACTACCGCTTTAATTCATACATACATCTTAAAGTGGTAAGGAAAAAAAAAAAAAAAGTGGGCCTCTGCAGGATAATGTCATAATGTGCTGTAATGCATCTCATCTAGCACATTATGACAGACTTGCCTAAAACAAAGCCCTCCAGCGGGCTTCTATCTTCACCTGGTCTTCCTTTTGGGTTTGTGGGCTTTGGTCGTTTGAATGGCCGAGCCATGATGACCCCCCCTCCCGCATGACATCCACTGACAGCACAGTGACATTACTGGCTGCTACTGAAGTAAATATCTCCTAAGTGGTGCACATTTAGGAGATATTTACTGTAGCTACAGGTAAGCCTTATGCCCTGGTTCACAAATATGTGGCTGTGGGGGCCGAGTTTTGCGCGGGCACGAGAGCCCATTTATTTGAATGGACTCCCGTGACATGCAGAGAAGTCCCTGCATTTCTGCCAAAAACACAGCCCGCACAGGAACCTCGGTTCCCAGTACGGTTGCGTTTTCCAGTGTGGAGCGGCATGCCATTAGAACTAATGGCACCCGCCAGCGGGTCTGCATTTCTCTGTGCGGCTGCACGGATTTTCGTGCGGATCCGCAGCGGCACCACCCGCACCTAGCCTAAAAGTCTCCGGATGTGAAATTAATTTCAGCAAGGTGGTTTTATGTATTTCCTCAGGCTCAGATATCCTATTTATAAGCAACATTTTCTGGGGGGGTTTTTTTACATTTGGACTGGGTGCCTTGAGATTTTGTATACCTTTAAAGGGTGCTGTGACTGGGAAAAAAAAGGTTGAGAACTGCTGCACTAAATGTATGAGGTAGGGCAATTCACAGTAAGACCATGCAGATGCTACTAACTACCCTTTCACATCTATGGCCAGTTTTATGGAGTACAGACAAGCTGCTATAAAGGATCAGCACACTTGCCAGCTGTAGGCCAGAAGAATAATCTGAAATACCAGCGATCATTAAGGGGTTACTCAATGTAGTATGCATGTAATGGCCACAGGTGCAGGGTTTTACAGACATCTGGAGAAAAGGTTACAGAAGGGGAACTCTTTCACAGAACCCATCATCGCAGTGTAATAGACCTCCATAATTGCAGTTTGCCGAATGTACACCTGACTTGTCAGACGAAGTAGCCAAAGTGACCAACCTGTTCCTCCAGTGCCAGGCACAAACAAGCAGCAATACGACGCTGGTGCAGACCATGACTAAAGCTGGGACCAGGATGGCTGCCAAGGGTACATCTGTAACACATTAAAAACAAGAACAGTTCAGCTTACATGCCAATCAGTGAGCACATTCTTGTGTAGGTGTCGGAAGGAGTAACCCTCTTCGGGGTCACCAGTGTAACAAAAGCAAAACTCCTTCACGGCACATACAGCTAAATTTGTTTCTAAGTCTACAACTTGTCTGGTTGAAAGAAGAGGCATGACCAGGAACACAAACACATAATCTGTGTTAATAAATCACTGAACTATCACTTTTGAGAGAAATCTCAGAGTTGCGATTTGAAAAAGAAACAAGATTTCTTCATGCACAAGGCATTTCAAAAGAGTAGAAGAAAAATAAAACTAGAGATTCCTTCCATAACCAGTTAAATTGTATGTTAGTGCAAAAATAAAAAAAGGATCACGGACAGTACTCAATTGTTTTCTTCCCATAACCAGTAAATGAAAAAAACCCACAAAATTATAATTACATGCAACTCCTGGCCTGCATTTCACAACCTCCATATTGCGTAAAAAAAAAAAACCCTTCAGAAAATACGCTTTTTTGACCAGCACTCCCACCAACCTTAAATGGCTGTGATCAGATTTTGTCATTCACAGTCACTATGGACAGTTCAAATTACAGTCATCACATGCAGAGCCAATCCGAGAGGTTCCTTGTGATCACTATGAACCAATCAGAGCCATCATAAAGTGTGTTTACAAACATTAAAGTGATAGTAAAGGATCACATTTTATTTATAAAAAAAACACATAGTATACTTCTCTACTAAAAAGCAGCCTCGATCCTCCTCTTCTGTTCTTCATCTCCTCACCCCTGCTGAATGCTCCAATAGTAAGCTGCTTGCTATGGAGGCTCGCACGTGAGCCGCACTGTGTGTCCATTGACACACAGTGTGTGGCTCGGCCCTACCCCCCCACAGGGAATCAATGAGGAAGGAGAAAGCCTCTGTTCTCGTGCACAGCGCTGGTTTGTGTGTGTGTGTGTAAGGGGGGGGGGGGGGGGGTAGGTGTTCAGGGGGCTGGGGAAGCTGCATGCAGAAGGGTTTTTTTCTATCATAATTCACAGAATACGTTAAGTGTTACTAAATCCCAGACCCTGCATTCACTATATCCTGGTCTCCCACAGTACACAGAACATGGGAATGCAATTATTTTAGTAACTATAAACTGCTAAATACCTTTTCCCATCAGCAGTTAGAGTCTTGTGACTTCTATCAGTGTTCAGCAAAGGCACTGGTTAAAGCTTGTAGACAGATTTTATTCTCCCCTATGAGGCTGCAGGACCCCTGACCCTCTATCTGGACAGTGCTGACTGGCCCAGTGCTGATCACATGCACTCTCCCAAGAAAAAAAAAAGAAAAAGAAAACTCTCTAGCAATACACACCAAACTGAGTATGTGCATCTTGCCTCCAAGCCTCTGTTCTATCAAGAGTTATACAGGCGACAGTAGAAGAAGGGGAGGATCAGAGAAGAGATGATTAAACATCCTTTTTACACAAGGAGGAGGATTAACTCCCTTAGGTTTCGCAGTGAGTAGAACAATCATGCTTTACTGCATATACAGACTGATTTTACTGTTGTCGGTATAGTAACACTATAAGTAAAAAAAAAAAAAAAAAAAAGTTGGCCTTTAGAACCATTTTAAGCCCACTTACAACAGAGAAATAGGAATGCACCAAAATTTCAGTGACCAAAATGTTTCAGCCGAAAACACCTCTATCAGCCTTTGGCCGATATGAAAAAAAAGCACCGATACAGGTGCTGAAAACAACCCGCCACTCACCGCCCCTGCTCAGTGGTTCTCAGCCTTACCTGAGAACCCATCCAATGATCCCAGCACTGGACCTAAGAGATCAGTGAAGGAAAGATAGCCTCCATTCATCTCTTTGCCTTGTCGTTACGTCACTTCCAGTTCCGGAAGGCCTTTTTTGTTGTTTTTTAAGCACTAGATCAATGCTTTTTTAGATCTAATGCTTTACATTGTAGAGGAGAGATTTGGGGTCTTATTGACCCCATATCTCTCCACAAAGAGGACCTGTCACTGCTCATTTCTATCACAACGGATGTTGCATTCCTTTTAATAGGAATAAAAGTTATTTAAAAAACAAACAGAAAAAAAATTTAACACGTTCCTGCCCGGCCTATAGCAGATTGACGGCCGGGTGGGACACTCGCCATTGTGACTAGGCATCATATGACGTCCTGTCAAAAATGAGTCGTGCAGCGGCGAGATCTGTCACCGGCTGTGTCCCATATCACTACACCAGCCCGTTGCCAGTGTCATGTGACCGCCGTGACCAATCACAGCAGATCACATGTCAATTGTATACAATGGATGGCTTCCATTCATGCCATCCATTGTATACAATTATGTTGTTAGCTGTGACTGGTCAAGGAAGTCACATGATACAGACAGGGCCAATCACAGCCCATCTGTATCATGTGATCAGTTTCTGCCCAATCACAGCTAACAACAACAAAAGACTGAATGAATCAGTTTCATTCAGTAACAATGATTGCAAATATCAATGAAATACATTGGTATTAGCAATCATAATGTGTAAAAAAAAAATAAAAAATCCTGATCACTTGCCCAGAGTAGTTCAATGTTACTATGGTAACATTGTATTGCTTTGGTCACAGTGTGCTGAAAAATAAAATAGTAAAAAAAAAAATAAAAAAATTAATAAAAAATAAAAAAAAATAATAGAAACATTTGAAAAAAAATACAAATTCAATTATAATTATTATTTTCACCAAAGAAATGTAGCAGAATACATTGTGACCTAAATTTATGAATACATTTATTTGCAAAATTTTATAACAGAAACGAAGAAATAGTGCGTTTTTTTTTTTCTAAAGTTTAGTGTTTTTTTGTTTTATTTAGCAAAAAATAAAAAACTCTGTGGTTATTAAATACCGCCAAAACAAAACTATTTGTGTGAAAAAAAATGATAAAAATTTCATATGGGTACAGTGTTGTATGACCGTACAATTGTCAAAGTGCAACAGCACTGAAAGCTTAAAATTGGCCTGGGCAGGAAGGGGGTATAAGTGCCTGGTATTGAAGTGGTTAAAGGGACAGTGTAAAAAAAATAAAATAAATTTAAAACAAAAATGTTTAAAGTGCCTCCATGCTCATGCGTAGTGGTGAGCGCATACATAGGCCACGCCCATATATGTAAATTGTGTTCAAACCACACGTGAGGTATCACTGCAAACGTCAAAGCAAGAGCAATAATTCCAGCCCTAGACCTCCACTGTAACTTTAAACTGGTAACCTGTCGAAATTTTTAAACGTCACCTATGGAGATTTTTAAGTACTGTAGTTTGGTGCCATTCCACGAGCGTGCGCAATTTTAAAGCATGATATGTTGGGTATCTATTTACTCAAAGTAACATTATCTTTCATATTTTACAAACAATTGGGGTATATATAGTGTTTTTTTTTTTAAATAAATAATTTTGTTTTTTAAACTGCGTTTGAAAAATATATTAATTTTTACAAAACTGTCCATTGCGGTTTTGGTTTTCGCCCAAGTGCATCCTGAATTTTCAGTTTCGGCATCAGAATTTTCATTTCGGTGCACCACTAGAGAAAACTCCCCTTGCTCTGTTGTGACTAGGCTGAAGGTTTGTAAAATTAAAGGTAAAGGTGAGGGGGTCAGAAAAGGGCCAACAATGATCATATTGTCTTTGTTAAAAGAGGGGGTGGGTGTGTTCAAAGTGCCACTGACCACCAATGATTGCATTTTTTTCTTTAAGGTGGGGCATTTATAATGCCAAAGACAACCGATGATTGGTTAAGGTAAAGAATTAAAGATAAATGTAGGCAAATCCAAGTTTTTGGTCTTTTTTTTCCTTTTATAGTAAAAAAAGAAAAAGAAAAACCACCTCTATGATTAAGTCCAACAGGTGAAACATGTATTGCCTCATGCACACTGCACTGGTGTGAACTAGGGCCATTGGAATACATGGAAAATACTGTGCATGCATTTTTGATGAAGAAAAAAAAACATACTGGACTGCATCTGGTGTGAACCAGCCCTAAGTCTCTGAAAAGCTGAAAGCTGCTGGACAGTGTACCGAGTGGTATGAAGATTTAGGACCGTATGAACTCAGGGACAAAGGCTCTTGACACAGACTTCTTTTATTTCAGGCATTCATCCCTGAGCACATACTACCACTCTGTACACGGTCCAGTCACAGTTTTCAGCCTCCTAAAGACTTTTATAGTATAACCAGCAGCAGGGATGGATGCTGCAGCTGTGCCTTATCCCTGCATCACAATGTCGGAATCTCATGCACAAGGGCTAAATGCCCAATGTGCATGAGGTTTTAGCGAGGTGGTCCTTGGGATGGGACCATATGCTGCAGCTTGTCCGTGAAGGTGAAAATTGGCCTGGTAATGGCAGGTATTGGCTGCTACTTTGGGGGCTCTCTCCCCTTCAAAAGTATTTTAACAGGCTAATGAAGAATGATGAGGCTGCTGCAGTCAGAATCTTCCTAGATTACTAAACGGGGCAACCCGACCTATGAAAGACGAACACCCCGCACCCACTCAACTATAGCCACCTACCTCATATAAATTTAGAAGTGTTCTGTACAGTGACCGTATGATAAAAGTCAGTAACCATATCTATGGGTATTTTAAAAAAATAAAACAAACAATTTTCTTTTATATATATATATATATATATATATATATATACACACATACACACACACACACACAGGTCCATATATATTTGGACAAAGGCACAATTTTTTTTTTTTTCAGGTATTTTCCAAAAACATTTTCAAGCTACAGTTATATAATGGATATGGGCTGAAAGTGCACACTCTCAGGCTTAATTTGAGGGTATGTACATCCAAATTGGAGGAAGGGTTTAGGAATTACAGCTCTTAAGAGTAGCCATTTCCCCTTTTTCAGTAATTGGACTATTGAATCAAAAGCTGTTTCATGGCCAGGTGTGGGCTACTCCTTCGTTATTTCTTCATCAATTAAGCAGGTAAAAGGCCTGGAGTTGATTCTAAGTGTGGTATTTGCATTTGGAATCTAATGTTGTGAACCTACATCATGCGTTCAAAGGAGCTGTCCATGCAAGTGAAACAGGCCATTGTAAGGCTTCAAAAACGAAACAAATAAATCAGAGAGATAGCAGCTACATTAGGAGTGGCCAAATCAGTATGGTACATTCTGAGGAAAGAAGAACGCACTGGTAAGCTCCGCAACATAAAAAGGCATGGACGTCCACAGAAGAAAACAGTGGTGGATGATCGCAGGATCCTCTCTATGGGAAAGAAAAACCCATTCACAACATCCAGACAAGTGAAGGACACTCTCCAGGAGGAGGGCGTATCATTGTCAAAGTTACAATCAAGAGGAGACTTCACTAGAGCAAATACAGAGGGTTTTTGCCAAAAAACATCTAAAAAGCCAGACCAGTTCTGGAAAAGCATTCTTTGGATGGATGAAACTAAGATTAATCTGTACCAGAATGACGAGAAGAAAAAAGTGTGGAGAAGGCTTGGAACAGCTCATGATCCAAAGCACACAACGTCATTAGTAAAACATGGTGGAGGCAGTGTGATGGCATGAGCATGCATGGCTTCCTGTGGCACTGGGTCATTGGTGTTTATTGATGATGTGACAGAAGACAGAAGCAGCCGGATGAATTCTGCAGTGTTTAGAGATATACTGTCAGCCCAGATTCAGCCAAATGCAGCAAAGTTGATTGGACGGTGCTTCACAGTACAGATGGACAATGATCCAAAACACACTGCAAAAGTAACCCAGGAGCTTTTGAAGGAAAAGAAGTGGAATATTCTGCAATGGCCGAGTCAATCACCTGACCTCAACCCAATTGAGCATGCATTTCACTTGCTGAAGGCAAAACTAAAGGCAGAAAGACCCACAGACAAAGAACAACTGAAGACAGTTGCAGTTAGAGCCTGGCAAAGCATCAGAAAGGAGGAAACCCAGTCTTTGGTATGTCCATGGGTTCCAGACTTCAGGCAGGCATTGCCAGTAAAGGATTCTCAACAAAATATTAAAAATGAACATTTTATTTCTGATTATATTCATTTGTCCAATTACATTTGAGCCCATGAAAATGGAGGGACTGTGTATAAAAATGGCTGCAGTTCCTAAATTTTGTACTTAATATTTATGTTCAACCCCTTGAATTAAAGCTGAAAGTCTGCACTTCAAATTCATTTGGATTGTTTTGTTTTAATTTATTCTGGTGGCATACAGAGCCAAAAAGTATGAAAACTGTGCCTATGTCCAAATATATATGGACCTAACCGTATGTATGTATGTATGTATATATTTGTATATTTATTTTGTGCTGGTTTTGAAACCTTTTCAAACAACTTGTTTCTCTAGTACAATTTTTAAATATTATAGTCACGATGAAAGTTGATACATGTGCTGTTAGTATTTTGCCTCAGGGAGTGCCCTATTCAAAGGCCCCCTTTCACTCCGGCTAACCCTAACCCTCCCTAAAGCAAAAAACTTAACAGCTTGTTAGCTTACTGCTATGAAAAATGAACATTCCTTGTGATGGGCCTCCAAATCCAACAGGACCACAATGTATATGAACAAAATAAACTAGAAAAAGAAACTGAAATCCCCTTTGAACACATTACAGATAAATATCAGAGCTGAAATGTTAAGTATTTCTCTGGACCATGCTTTTAATTTTCACTTATTAAAGCAGACAGGGATGCAAGCCCATGTCACGAAACATTCTTACATTTGTAAACGTATGAAAGGGGTCGGGGCCCTTCCTGATTGCTATAGAAGCCCGTGTTTTGCATTGCTTGAGGTAAAGGGAGTATAAAAAAGGGAGTCAGATAGTTAAAAGGACAGTGTAGTGAGCCTTGATGAGTCAGCGCTGTTACTTGCAGAGTTCATAGCACTCTGATGTCAACCCCAACATTCCTGACTGGAAGCAGGCCACTCACAGCTGACATAAGGCAGAGCTAAGCATTTCTTAGCCAGTTCCATGTTCTCCAACCCTCTCACAGGCTTCACTTGCTCCATACGTTTGACCCAGACTATACACACTACTGCAGTCAAGAACACTTCAAAAAGAAACTGCTTTAAAGAGCAAAACAAAGCCGTCAACAGAAATGTAACCAAACTCCGATCAAACAAAACACTTTACACATCCAGCAGACGCTCTCTTTTTACTGCACAGCTGGCCTCTTGTTCTGCCAGGGCCCTTTAAACTTCATGGCCGCATGACACTGGATACAGGGACTCCCATTTTCGAAGTCTTCTATTATGGAGGGCCCATTTATACGTATGCGTTCTGTCGCGGTGCGGAAATGCATGCATGTTAACCCCTGTTCAAATATTTTTCAGCATGTTTCCATACACCATACTACACTCAAAATGCATGAGCTCCTTTTTTTTTTCTAATTGTCCCTGCTCAGACTTGCACACTCAGTCACCCTACGCTCAAAAAAGTATAAAAGCTTTTTTTCCTGAGCCTGCCCGGGTGTTTTCGGCTCCATAGACTCCTTTCTTCCCCTTGCAATCTTCATGTCCAAACCCCTCCCCCTGAAAAACACTTTAACCGTCTAACGTCCAACATATAAGGTAATGACAGGCGCAAGGCGGTTCTCTTTGTTTTGGGAGGATGTCATTGATCGGTGGTGTGCTGTGTCCCTGCTGGACACAGCGGATCACCGATTAATGGAAAGAGTCGATGACGTCGGCTCTGTCATGTGATCAGCTATGTCCAATCACAGCAGATCGCATGTAAATAAGGAAATGCCGGTTATCGGCATTCCTCTCCTCACGAGTTGTCACGCTGACAGTACGTGAGGAGAGAAGAGACAGCCAGTAATTGGCATTAGTCAGATGGGACATCTACACTGATCATCAGGGCACTGATGATCAGTGTGCCTTGATTATCAGTGTAGCCCCATCAGTGCCACCTGCCAGTGCCCATCAATGCCACCTGCCAGTGCCCATCAGTTCCACAATGCCACATATCAGTGCCTACCAGAGCACATCAATGCCACATAGTGCCCATCAGTGCCGCCTATCAGTGCCATATATGAGTGCTGCCTTTCAGTGCCCATCAGTGATGCCTGTCAATGCCCATCAGTGTCACCTACCAGTGCCTCCTCATCAGTGCCACCTATCAGTGTAGCCTATCAGTGCCCATCACTGCAGCCTCATTAGCGCACAAAAGTGAAGGAGAAAAATCACTTACTTACAAAATTTTATAACAGAAACAAAAATAAAATTAAAAAAAAAATTTCCCCACATTTTCGGTTGTTTTTGGTTTGTTTCGCAAAAAATAAAAAACCCAGAGGTGATTAAATACCACCAAAAGAAAGCTCTGTCTCAAAAAAAATAATAAAAATGTCATATGAGTACAATGTTGCATGACCGCGCAATTGTCATTCAAAGTGCGACAGCACTGAAAGCTGAAAATTGGCCTGGGCAGGAAGGGGATGAAAGTGCCCCGTAGGCAAGTGGTTAAAATCAGCAGGATTATGCTCTGGTCAAGTGTGAATGCAGGCTCATAGGGCAGATTACATGCTTTGCATTATGGCAGCCTATCTATGGCATTACTAATTGTGGATGGGCTGCCAATGCATCACAATGGCTGGAAATCAATGCATGACCATTTTTTTAATGCAACACAGCACACCACAACGCATAGTATATGTATTACAACAGCCTATTTATATCATATTAATTATGAATGGGCTGCCAATGCACCACAACAGATGCAAACATGTATATATTTCATTTTTTTTTCTTTTTTAGCAACACAGCACAGGGCAAGGTATATGCTATGTGGTGCGCTGTATTGTGCTCACGGAGCAGCAGCACAGTGTTTTGGGTGTGACATTCACAATGAATAGCACCACAATGACTGCACAGAGCAGCACAGTAATAATGCATGTTTTAGCAAATGTTGACCCAACACTCTAGTGTGAATGAGCCCTGATTGCTTTCTTCTTTATCACCTCATTTAAAAATGCTGCCGCCACTGATCCACTGTTGAAAACATGACATTTTAACAGTTGCCAATTAATAAAAGCAGACAAATGTGAATCATCACAACTTTTTCCTCTTACTGCAGCAAATGCAATCACTTTCAGCCTTATTGGATATTTCAGCTGGTGTGAAAAAAAACAATGACATAATGTGGTATGAAAAAATATTTTTAAAAAAACGGTTTTAAAGAGCAAATCAACACTATTAATATAATTTCCCCACAAATACATCTCATAACAAAATACTTTAAGCAGCCATGATGAATTGTGACTTTTTCGTTTCTTGCATGGGCAATCTCTTGTTCTGCCAGTCCCCTTTGAATGCTACTAGCAATATGCTGCTGTATTAGCTTTCATAGCACAGCACAGAGACTGCACAACAGTCATTCCACAAGTCACATAACACAGTTTGAAACTCCAAGACATCAACTTACCTTTGGTAATGTTTGGAGTCACTGTTGTGTTTTTAATCTCTGGTGGTGGTGTTGTTTTGTCTACAGGTGGTGGATAATGTTTGGCACGTGGCACAAAGGCTGGCGGTGCAGTTAGTTTTGGAATAACTGCTTTCAGGAAAAGAAAGAGAAGAAAAGTCAAACTTTTTTTGGTGTCAAACCACATTGATACTTCAACTGAGTATAATGATAGTGCGCTGACAAATCTGAATGCTTAAAGATGAATTTCAGGCATTTTATAGTTTTACATAAATTCTTCAGTCCAGCTTGGACCAATGTAACATACCCGGGGGATACTCCACTTACCATACCCTACTACTCCAGTGATCTCCACTTGCTTCTAGGTCCCATGCTGAGCGGCAGGCCTGCTGCATTCTGAACACAGGAGAAGAGCAGTTCAGCATGAGTGCCATTCAGAGATTTTCTGAATAAATGCAAAGCATTCTCTGACTGGACGAGGTGGAGAAGCAATGACATCTCATTCACCACCTCATTCAATCAGAGAACTCTTTTCATTCATTCAGAAAATGCAAAACATTCTCTGAATGGAGCCCGTGCTGAGCAGCCAACCACTTGTGTTCACTGAAGATCACTGGAGTAGCAGTGTGATTTCCAACTTCCACCAGCATTCGCCAATCACCCGCCTTTTAAATAATCACATTTTGTTACTTTGCAGCCTGAAATGAAGACAGACACAGTTTTTGTTTTATCCTGCTGCAATTTATAACATCCAAGTGAAAGATATAACACCAACATGTCAGGGAAAACAAAAAATCAAAAACAGAATCACCGAGTTGGAAAAAGGATCACCCCTCCTAAAAATGACTTGTAAACTCAATCAGGTGTAGCTAATCACCTTCTGAATGGCACACAAAGCCATTTGACTTTAAATTGAGATCAGCTGTGGTCATTTTAATTAGCTCAGTATGAGAAGAGCTTTCCTGGAGCATTACAGTTACTGGTAGTGCAATTAAGGCAAACAATCAACTAGAGATGCAAATGAATGGGCGCAAATTGCACTGCAAAGAAAAGCATGCAATTTGAACAGGAATGCGGTGCGATTTCTGTCCAAATCGCACATGGTTTCTCCACCACTCCGGTATGAACCCAGGCTTGTTCAAAGGGCTTCGGCTTTCTCTCCTCTCCTTGAAGGGATGACAGTACAGGCTAGACGGCTTCTGACTGGTAAGCACTTTGACAGTGCAAGGAGAGGAGAAAAAAAGCTATGGGAATTTACAATCCCCAGACAGATGAAGCGGCTTTTCCTTGTATGACAGCATGGGATCGGTGCAGGGAAGTTTCCCCGCACAGCTCCTGTGTGAACTCAGGCTAGGACAAGCCTGGGTTCACACAGGAGCAGTGGGGAAACCGCATGTAATTTGGACAGAAATTGCATTGCAGTCCTGTTCAAATCGCATTCTATTCTTTGTGGTGTAATTTGCGTCCATACAAAATGAATGGGCGCAAATCGCACTGTAAAGTATCGGAACTTAGTATCGACGAGTACTTAACTGAAAGTATCGGTACAATAACCCTACAATCAACTATGGGTGCAATGCACTCTCTGAGATAAAGTTGTGGACAGACACAAGTCAGGAGAAGGATGCAAAAAAAATTCAAAGGCTTTGTCAATGCCTAGAAGCACAGTGAAGTCTATTATTAAGAAGTGGAAGATATTTGGTACAACACAGACGCTCCCTGGATCAGGACGTTGCTCCAAACTGGATTAGAGAGCCAGGAGCAAACTGGTCTGAGAGGCTACCAAAAGGCCTACAGCAACTCTGAAGCAGTTGGAGGAGTTTATGTCACATTGTGTGCATGTGACAACAGTATCACAAATTCTCCACAAATGTGGCTTGTATGGGAGAATTGCAAGAAAAAAAAAAAAAATACTCCTCAAGAAAGACCACATGCAGTCACACCTGAGCTTTGCCAAAACACACTTTGAAGATTCTGAGGCCACATGGAAAAGGTGTTCTGGTCAGATGAGACTGAAATTTTATTATTTGGCCTCAAAACTAAACGATATGTCTGGCAGAAATCCAATACAGCTCCAAATACCCCACTCCTTCTGTAAAGCATGGAGGTGGTAATATCCAGTTATGGGGGGTGTTTCTCTGCAGCAGGGACTGGAGTACTTGTCAGGATAGAAGGGAAAATGGATGGGGCACAAAACCTTCAAATTCCTGAGGAAAGTCTGCTACCCTCTGCCAGAAAGTTGTCAATGGGAAGAAAGTTTACCTTCCAACATGACAATGACCCAAAACCACACAGCAAAAATGACCACACAGTGGTTACAGAAGAAAAGGGAGAATGTCCTTGCATGGCCTAGTCAGAGCTCAGACCTAAACCCCACTGAAAATCTGTGGAATGACTTGAGAACTGCAGTCCACAAACTGTCACCATCAAATTGAACTGAACTTGAGCAGAAGAGACGTATCCCAACAGACTAAAGGCTCTAATTAAAGCAAAGGGTGGTTCAACAAAATACTGACACAAGGTGGTGGTCCTTTTTCCAACTCAGTGATTCAGTTTCAGGCTATGTGATTTTAAAAAGGGGGGGGGGGGGGGGGAATTCATTTCTATACCCACTGTATATACTGTACATAGTTACAATTGGTCAAAGCTGGACCAATGTTACTATGTATAAAATATCCATACCTGGAATTCTTTAACCTGAAGCTAAAGCCAGGTGACTCAGCAAAAAGAAGGTCATTCTTTCCATTACTACAAAGGCATTAAAGAGGTCTTATCATGAAAAACATCTCTGCCAGAAGGTTCAAATATCAGCCGTCACTCTCAGGGACAGTGAAGACACTTGTATTTAAGTGGAACAGATTTGGTTTGGCAGTTAACAACTTGATTTGAGGCTTGAAAGCCAGTGAATGAAAACTTCCCTCTGAAGCTTATCACAAATTTCCTTTATATTGTATGTAAAGCCAACCCCTTTTTATTTTGTTGGGTAGTGAAATGTTTAAATATCCTTCAGATTTGTTGCTGCCTGTGTCCTGCTGGGAAATCCCTTAACGTCCTGTCTAGAAGACACAACAGTAAACTAGAGGAAATGTTCCCATGTGAAAGGAATTCCCATTTTTGGAGTTGGAAGATTTTCTCTCACCCCCTTTCTCTAGTGGCAACCCCAAAATTTCAAATTTCCCACCATTGTCTCATTGATCCCAGGGAGAAAAAGAGGGGTGAATCTGTCCAGTGGGAACACAGGGCAATACAAATCTGGCAGGGGGTCTAGTCTTTACCATTCTATCCAAAATAAATAAAATTTGCCTTTGCACATTATTACTACATATTTTTTGGGATACAAGTGATTATTGGCAGAGCTGGTCTCAAACTACGAAATCTACCAACAACCTATCACAACTACATGTATACAAAAATGTTTGGCTTTGCATATAACAGATATAGGAATGGTGTCTATCCATTTTCAAGAACATCAATGGAGGAATAGTGAATATCTAATTGGTAGCTTAGACAAACTTTTTTACTTAGCCAAAGGAAACTGTTTTTTCTTTTTAACACAAAAGAGCCTTCTATATAAATTAAATCTTAGGAAAAACATCAGCCAGATATACTGGTAACAGATCTGATTTTTTTCACCATAGCTACAATTTAAGTACCGTATTTTTCGCCGTATAAGACGCACTTTTTCTTCCCCAAAACTGGGGGGGAAATGTCAGTGCGTCTTATAAGGCGAATATGGAGCGGCCGTTCTGGTATTTCCACCGCGGCCGTGTCAGAATACCGGGCCGGCCACTCAGTTCTGCAGCGGGACCTTACCTGTTCCTCTATCCAGCGGCGTGCTGTCTTCCCGGCTTCTGTAGTGTGGGCACTGGGCATGACAGCCGGGTGCCCAGTGCGCATGCGCGAGAAGCGGTGCGCTTTGTGAATGGTAAGGCGGTACCTGGGACACATGACAGATCCCAGAAGCCGCCGGACCAATCACAAGGCACAAGTGCTTCTCGCTCATGCGCACTGGGCACCCGGCTGTCATGTCGAGCGCCATTACAGAAGCCGGGAAGACAGCGCGCGGCTGGATCGAGGAACAGGTATGATCGGGTACCTGTCAAATTCAGGTACCCGCTCCCCACCTCCCCCAAAAGGTCAGCAGTCATCTGTACTGTCCGCAGTCTCTGGTCATCCCTGTACTGTCCGCAGTCTCTGGTCATCCCTGTGCTGTCCGCAGTCTCTGGTCATCCTCTGTGCTGTCCGCAGTCTCTGGTCATGTGCCCAGTCTCTGTCCGCAGTCTCTGGTCATCCCTGTGCTGTCCGCAGTCTCTGGTCATCCCTTTGCTGTCCGCAGTCTCTGGTCATCTCCTGTACTATGTCTGCAGTCCATTAGTTCAGAATTTTTTTTTTTCCTGTTTTCTGCCTCTAAAACCTAGGTGCGTCTTATGGGCAGGTGCGTCTTATATGGCGAAAAATACGGTAGTTCTAGTCTAATCTTCACCACAAAACAGTTCATGGTTACTGATTCAGCACTGACCCTCTCAAAACTGTATCCATGTAAATGGGTGAATAAGCTGAAGCCGCGTGACTCACAGCAAAAGAAGCTCATTCTCACCATGAATATTGTGTTGACATCCGAGAAGTTCTACCTTCGTGGCAATCTTTTGGTGCCAGCTTGTAGGTCTGATCTTCACAAACCTTGCCACTATGGGTGGGATGAAGTTGTTGCGGACCTCTTGGTGATAATCAGAGTTGCCCTGGAATATCTGAGGAAGTAAAAAAAAAAAAAAAAAAAAGTGGAAAATCATGATGAATTAACCAAACAAAGCATTCTTATATGTATGTGATCCGGCATTCCAGGTAGAATGTGAATGCTTGCTGCCCGGCCTGTGCTGTCATTCGCTAATGCACAAGTCGGTCTGCAGGTCGCAGCCAACGATTTAAGATATACTGATCAGCGTAGCAAATGACAGTACAGAGCCCTGTGTTTACTGAACACAGAGCTCTGAACAGAGAGCAGTGACGTGCCTTTTTTTTCCCTGCAGGGAGAAAAAACAAACACAAATAGCTTAGTAAAAGGGAAAACCATTACACATTGTTAGGCACACAGTTAACCCTTTGATTGCCCCTAGATACCCCTTCCCAGGCAGTGTCATTAGTACAGTGATCGTATACAGTATTAGCACTAATCACTATTAGTGTCACTGGAGATGTCAATGTCATTTAGGCAGTTCCCACCCAGCGTCAGTTAGTGTCAGATTGTGCACCACACTATCTTAGTCCCACTCTTGTTGATGATCACCACCATTACTAGTACAAAAACCCAAAACAAAATAAATAAAAATTCCAGTGTATATATACCATAGATTGTAGACGTTATAACTTTCACACAAACCAATCAACATACACATTGGAATTTTTTTTAACACAGACATGTAACAGAATATATTTGGGTCTAATTTTATGGAGAAATTAATTTTTTTTTATTGAATACATTTTACAGCAGAAAGTAAAAATAGTTTTTTTCAAAATTTTCTCGTTTTAAAAAAGAAAAAAAAAAACCCAGTGGTGTTTAAATACCACCAAAAAGAAAGCTCTATTTGTGTGAAAAAAATGCTGAATATTTCAGTGCACAGTGTTGCATTTTTGCGCAATTGCCAGTTAAAGAAGCTCGGTACCAAATAGCAGAAAATGACCTGGTCATGAAGGGAGTAAAATCTTCCACAGCTTAAAGTGTTACTAAACCCAGGACCCTGCATCAACTAGATCTGGTCTCCCACAGTACAGAGAACATGGAAATGCAATTATTTTAGTAAATATAAACTGCTAAATACCTTTTCTCATCAGCAGTATATAGCAGTCTTGTGACTTCTATCTGTGTTCAGCCAAGCACTAGCTAAAGCTTGTAGGAGGAGTTTTCTTTCTGCTCTAGGAGGATGCAAATCCCCTGACCTCTGTCTGGACAGTGCTGATTGGCCCTATGCTGATCACATGCAACTTTCCAAAAAAAAAAAAAAAAAAAACTCTCTAGCAATACACACCAAACTGAGTATGTGCATGCCTACGATTCAGTCTGAAGATAAGAGGTGGTCGCTTGAAAAAGGGGAGGAACAGAGAAGAAAGGATCAAACGGCCTTTTTACACAATGAATAGGATTAACCCCTTAGGTTCCATAGTGAGTAACAAGCATGCTTTACTGCATTTACAGGCTGATTTTGCTGTTGTGGGTTTAGTAACAAGTGGCTAAGGGACAACTATGAGATGAGTCTAGCAGAACACCAGAATAAATCATTAACATTTAAAGTGAATTTAATGCATTTTGATCATAAGATGTAAACTAGGGATGCACCGATGCCGATACCAAGTATCACTAATGCTCCCGATACCTGGAACCTATAGTTTGCAGCGCGATTTGTGTCAATGCAAAATGTATGGACACAAATTGCACCACAAAGAACAGCATTCCTGCAAGGAGAGGAGAGAAAGCCGTGGGGATTTCAAATCCCCAGACCTGTGAAGTGGCTTTCTCTGCTCTCCTTGCTGGGATGACAGTATGGGCTAGACAGCTTCTGATTGGTCAGCAACATGACGGTGCTGACCAATCAAAAGCCATCTAGCCTGTACTGCCACCCCTGCATTGAGAGGAGAGAAAGCCACGGGGATTTCAAATCCCCAGAATTTCCTTCTGTGACAGCATGGGTTTGGTGCAGGGAGGTTTCTCACACCACTCCTGTGTGAACTCAAGATATGACAAGCCTGGGTTCACACAGAAGCAGTGGGGAAACCGCATTCGATTTAAACAGGAATTGCATTGCATGCTATTCTTTGTGGTGCAATTTGCAACCTTACATTTTGTATCGATGCAGATTGCACCGTAAAGTATGGGTACTCGTATCGGCGAGTACTTGACTGAAAGTATCAGTACTCATACTCTCCGAGCAAAAAAGGGTATCGGTGCATCCCTAACATAAATTATGCCAAATTTTTACTGTTAAAGCGTTACTAAACTCACAACAGTAAAATCAGTGTCTATATGCAGTAAAGCATGCTTGTTATACTCACTGTGGAACCTAAGGGGTTAATCCTCCACATTGTATAAAAAGGCTGTTTGACCTTGTCTTCTCTGATCCTCCCCTTCTTTTACTGTCCCCAATCCATCTGCCATAGTACAGAGCAGCAGTGGCAAGTCTGCACTTGCTGTTTGGTGTGCATTTGTTTTTGGGAAGGTACGTTGGATCAGCACAGGGCCAGTCAGCGCTGTCAGGATAGAGGGTCAGGTGTTATGCAGCCTCATAGGACAGTCAGAGGAGAATGAAAACTCCTCCTACAAGATTAAACAGTGCTGGACTGGAAATTGATAGAAGTCACAGGGCTGCTATATACTGCTGATGAAAAAGGTATTTAGCAGTTTATATTTACTAGAATATATGCATTTCCATGTTCTGTGTACTGTGGAAAACCAGATATAGTGAATGCAGGGTCCGGGGTTTAGTAACACTTTAAGATTATTACATCAGCTGTTTAAAAATGATGTATGCAGGGATTGATTACATGTAACGTGATTAATTTGGTTCTGTCCTTCATTACTGCCACAGTTTAGGTAATACAATATAGCCCATGGAAGTTATTGGACATAAAACTCTCAATTTATCAGGCACATTATCGCTCCAGAGGGAGCAGTGTGAGCTCAGTGACAAATAAAACTAATCAAGAATTAACTTATACAACTGTATTGTAATTGTAATTCTGATTCATTTCTGACACCAGAAAATTCTTTTTTTTTTTTATGTGTGCAGATGGTTTACATTTTTTCAGCTTTTTAATTATGTCTGAAAATCTGCTAGAGAAATTTTTATCTGTGTTCTGGGAGGAGAAGCGAGGGGAACTTTCCCCAAGAGAGACACACACAAACATTTGAAAACAGATCTAAATTCCAAAACAAAAATGTAATAAACTGCAGCTTACCAGACCTTACATGTAATGGCTGCATTCGTTTTCACTTTTCAGGCTCAGAATATATGCAAGTATAGAAAATGCTTGTTGGCCTTGCTAGAAATGCAGTATCCTTGTCACTTAAAATAAGTACAAGGATCCTTACCCTATGTTAAATTGTTGTTTTGGGGTTTAGATAAGCTTTTAAGTGGGAGTAAACTTCCACTGGACACTTGTACCTTCAGGTAAGCGTATAATAAAACTTATGTGTAGGTACAAGGAATATCTCCTAAACATGCATTGTAATATTCACTGTCCCTGCAGCCAGTGACAGTATGCTTGTGGGAGTGACACCATCGTGGCTCAGCCAATCAAGCATACAGAAAGCAAAATGGCAGTTGACTAGTGCAAAGGCTGCCTAAAGATGGTTTGCTTGTGGGAGTGACGCCATCGCGGCTCAGCCAATCAAGCAGCCAGAAAGCAAAATGGCAGTTGACTAGTGCAAAGGATGCCTAAAGATGGTTTGTAATTAATCCTATGCGGAGTAATTTATTTTCAAATTACTCCGTATAGGGATTAATTACAAACCATCTTTAGGCAGCCTTTGCACTAGTCAACTGCCATTTTGCTTTCTTAAGTATTTATGAGTTTATAATCCACACTAAAAAAGTAGAGGTCCCCAGGGGGTGAGGGTGCCGGCGTGCTGAGGGGAGAAGACGGCGAGTGTGGAAGCGGAGCTCCGGGAGGTGTTGGTGCCGCGGAGACCTGGGATCAGCTGTCGGGTTGCCGGGGAGACGGAGCAGAGCGGCGTGACCACGCTGGTTAGCCGCAAAGGAGCACTGGGAAGCAGAGGCGCCGGCCGGTTCCCTGACAAGTGCCAGCTCCCTGACAGGAGAACAGAGATGCCGGTTTAACCTTCAAAATCTGCAGCATAGGAGTGGAAGGTGATAGAGCACACATACCTACAGGAGACCCTGCAGGAATCCCCCAGAGACATTTGGCTGAGTGCGGTGAGTGGACGGCTGGAGATCTGAGTCGACTCACTGGGTGAGGGAACAAGTGAAGGAGGGTGAGTCCATATGTATGAACCCACATGTAACTGTGTAACTGTGTAACTGTGTTGAACTGTGGGAAGGACTGCTAATCACTAACAAAGAGAGAAGGGGGATTCCCAGGGGACTGGAAAAGTGAAAACAGAATTGAAAAGGGAATGAGAAATTACTAAGTGGCTCCAGAAGAGACCTGGGAAAAGAAATAGAAAATGAAGTGTTAAAGTGACAAAGACTGTTTAATATTAATACCCCAATATACAGCCTAAAGTTTCCCGCCGTTTAAAGAGCTATACTAAGTGCAGAAGATATGAAGAATAAAAGCGCTAAAGGAAGTGGGCTTAAAGGGTCCCAGACGGGCTCAATTGAAAAAATTTACTTCCCAGGGTAATGCGACTCCAGAAAGGGCCTATAGTGGAAATGAAAAAGGGGAAATGGAAACTACCTTGGAGACTAGCCCTAGATTGTCAATAGGCCTGGATAGTAGTAGCCAACAGTGGACAGAAAACTTAGCGAGGAAAGATCTTGAAAAAGATTTGCAAGTGCCGAACAAAAGAGAGATGACCGTAATGTTTAAGGATTTGGAAAAAACTATTAAGCAAGAAATGACAAATATACGTCAAGATCTAGGGCATCTGCTAAAGAGAACGGAAGAAATGGAGGGAAACATCAACAAACATACCCAATTCATTTCGGACTTAGAAAAAAGGTCCGCTATGATGAGGAATACGCAGAAACAACTGCAGTATAAAATAGAAGTACAGGAGAACAGGTCTAGGAGAAGC